CCATTCCTCTCCCCTCTCCTTCCCCCATCTCTCCCCTCTGCACATCCCAGGCAGATAAAACGAATCCATTATAACCTCCTGCATCCCTGCAAGGGCTCCTGCTCCCCACAGAGCCCCAGGCAGGGGGAAAATAAAAGAGAAAAGGAGCAAGGAGAGGCTGAGTCTCCTCCCAAAGCCCAGTCACGCTTCCCTCCCTGCTCCTGGATGTGCTGCTTGACCTTCAGAGAGGCAGCAGGGAAAATGGCTTTAAATAACTTCTCCTTCACATCAGTGCCTTTCACTCAGTCCCAAATTGTTCCTGGCTTTGGAGCATGCAGAGGTAAGAGCTCAGCCTGAGTGCCACAGTGAGGGAGAAACCTGAGTTTTCCTCCCCTGTTTGAGCTCATCTCTCCCAACTTCCTCCCAGAAAAAACACAGAAAAAAAAACAAAAACCAAACCCAGGTCTCAGGGCTGGGAGATTCCAATTGTACAAACAGAGCAGAAATCACATTATTTCCAGCTGCCCTGAAAATCAACACCTATTAATTTCCTCAGCCAAGGAAACAGACAGGGCTGATAATCCCCAGGCTCATGAAAAACCTGGCCATGATTTTTGCAGGAGGGTGCTCAAAGGATTTATCGATTGGAATAGAGCTGGGGAAGAAACAGAGTCACAGCCAGAGGATTCCTGCAGCTCCCAGAGCGCAGGCTGGGCACATTTTTTCCCCTCCCAATCCTGTGGTGGCTGTAATCCTGCTGGATTCAATAATGGACAGGGTTTCAGTGAGTAAAGGCAGCAAATCCTGGAAGGTTTTAGTGCTGCTCGGCTCTAAAGCAGCCCCAGCTGTGCCATTGCAGGGAATCTCTCACTGGTTGGGGTGGGAAGGGTCCTAAATCACCCAACTCCCTCCAAACCATCCCAGGCTCACTCTCACCAGCAGCAGAGCTGGGAAAAAATCATGGAATATCCCGAGCTGGGACCTGCAAGGATCATCCACCCCACTCCTGGCTCTGCAGGATAACCAACCCCAAAATGTTTAGGATGGATTTGGGGAAATGTTTTTCTCCCCAGGCTCCCCAGGGAATGGGAACAATCCCAAAAGCTCCAGGAAATTTTGGACTTCCTGGATCATCCACCCCACTCCTGGCTCTGCAGGATAACCAACCCCAAAATGTTTAGGTTGGATTTAGGGCAAGGTTCTTCCCCCCAGGCTCCCCAGGGAATGGGAACAATCCCAAAAGCTCCAGGAAGGTTTGGACAGGGTGGGATTGTTGGGATGCCTGTGCAGGGCCAGGGTTGGACTGGATGATGCTGGTGGATCCTTCCAGCTCAGGATATTCCAGGATTTTCTGCCAGAGTTATCCAAAATAACAGGCACCTCCACCTCCCGTGCAGCTGGGCTGCTGCACCTCTCCTGATCAGACGTCAGGAATCAAACACAGACCCAGGGGAAAATGAGTTTTTGTCATCGCCATCCAAACCTGACAGTGATTTCCCAAAGGATTCTTTTCCCTGCTTCAGTCAGGTTTGTTCTCTCACCACTGGGGATTTCTTTTTGAAAACACATTCTCTGGCTAGGATCACATTTAGCCACGTGCTGGGGTCTGTATTCCCAAAAAAACCTGGCATGAGCCTTGCTGGGAGCAAAGTGCTGCCATTCCAGGGGTGTTGGCATCATCCCTAACCAGGAACCCACTCAAGCGCTCCACACCACCACAGAATTCGGGTTAGAGGGGACCTTAAAGACGTTTTTAAGGTGTTTTTGAAAAGGAGGGGTGCCCACACCACCTCAGAGCTTCCAGGGGTTGTGCCAAGGTGCCCCTGGACACGGAGGATGGATCAACCACCTTGGGAATGCTCCTGTGCAGGGCTCTGAGCACACAGCACAGGAATTCCTGGGTCCAGGAATGTGCCCAGGGCAGCTCAGGGTGCTGGAGTGTGGGGACAGGAGCACATCCAGCAGTGAGGGAGGGGAACATCCCCAACACCCACTAAAACACTGCAGAAAACCCACCTGATAACACTGATAACACTGATAACAGTGATTGATAACACTGATAACATTGATAACATTGATAACATTGATAACATTGATAACATGGGGTTCACCCCTCAGCTGTGAGCAGCCCAGGCTCTTTGTGCAGCTCCATCCCTGCAGTTTTCCCAAGCTCCATCAAAATGTTCAAACCGAGTTTTATCACTGCTCTGACCCTGCTTTCCTCATCAGCTCCCAGGGGATGACCTCTGAGGACCCTTCCAGCCAGGATTTTTGGGATGAGGACATCTCCAGACCTGCTGGTTCCATCAGGGAATGCCAAGAGCTGGAAGTCCCAGGCAAGCAGCACTTCCCAAACCCAGATCCCAGCCTTGCACCCACGGATTCTTTAACCCTTTGTGCCACAAAAAGCTGCCACCAGGCTCATCCCACCCCTCTGCTCCATCTTTCCTCTGTTTATCACTCCCTCCTTGAGAGCAGGGAGCCACAGCAGCTCCTTCCCCCACCTCCCCACCGGGCAGGAGCTGCGGGATCAAGGCTGGAGCCGCTCTTACTTTTGTATTCCAGGTGAAAGCCGGCGGCAGAGACGCTGATGTCGGAATAGAAATGCAGATAGAGCTGGTTTGAAGTGCTGTTGAGCAGAGCAGGCACTGTGGTTCCTGGCAAAACAAGAGGAGCACAAAGGCGGGGGAGAGTGTGAGAAATGCCTGTTTGATGATTGGCTTTTGGCAAATATTCAAATGGATGTTGTATGGGTTGTGTTAGAGAGTGATGCTGGATTAATTCTCTTAAGTAGGGTGCTAAAGATAGAAATAAATGCTATATTAAAACTATACTAAAGAATAGAGAAAGGTTTAACAAGAAAGGTTTAACAGAGCCCCGACACAGCCTAACCATGATTGGTCATCAAGTAAAAACAATTCACATGAAACCAATCAAACAATGACCAGTTGGATAAACAATGTCCAAATTGTCCAATGTTTTGCTGCATTCCAAAGCAGCAAAACACAGGAGAAGCAAATGAGATAATGATTGTTTTCATTTTACTCTGAGGCTTCTCAGCTTCCCAGGAGAAAAATCCTGGGCAAAGGGATTTTTCAGAAAATGTGACAGTGACAGGGGATATTCCATAATTCTCTGGGCTGTTCTGCTCCAGCCACACACAGACCCATGGGCTCCATCTCCCTGTGAAAAATGTGTATTTTATGATTGGCTTTTCACAAATATTCAAATGAATGTTATATGTGTTGTGTTGGAAAGTGATGCTGGATTAATTCTCTTAAGTAGTGTGCTAAATATAGTTTTAGGTTACAACAAAATGTTAAAATAGAAACTATGCTATGTAAGATATTTTTTTAAAGAAAGGACTTGCAGCCACAGGACACCT